AAGAAAGAAAGAAAGAAAGAAAGAAAGAAAGAAAGAAAGAAAGAAAGAAAGAAAGAAAGAAAGAAAGAAAGAAAGGGGAAGAGAAGGAGGAGGAGGAACTGGTTCTCCCATGCCTCAGCAGCCACTAACTGTATAGCTCTTCATCTAGGGGTGGGGCCTTGTGAAATGTTCCTCCGTCCATGTTGGCATGTCAATTGGAAGGCATGCCAATTTGAATTTCACATGCTTTGCCTATTTCCCCACAATCAGAATTAGTGGATATTAATCTCCTTTTTCATCTTTCCAATTTGACAGGTAAAAGAACAGTACAGTACCTCACTGCAACTTATATTTGATGTGCAACACCACATTTCCAATTGTTCGCAAGCCATTTTATATTTTTCTTTTGTAAACTCATTCAATCAAGTGGATATATAAACATTTAACATGGTTAAACTTTATTTTGTTAATTAATAGTATATATTTACATTCTATACATTGTTTTTATGTTTAATCCTAGTGAACTGACAAAGCAATAGAGAAGTACTGTTTATAGCCAACAAACTACATACATACATATATATGCAAAACCTAAATAGACAAACTATCACTCAAAAATATTTTAGGAGGTAGATCATAATCACTGCAATTCACATAACTTCTTTTAAATAAAACATGACACTGTTTTCTACAGATGTCTTTTCATTTTAAATTCCACAAATCAAGAAAACCAAGTATCAAAGGAAGCAAAACTGACCAAGGGACCAATAGTGATTAATCAACTTTTAATCTAAGAAATGAAAAATGACGAACAAATATGCATATTATAGGAGAAAAAATAAGATTGTCATGATAATGTCCCAAATTTCTCATTATAATCATATATACCTTGTGAATTCTTCGTACTAAGACAGATGCAAAAAATCGTAAGGTGATTCTCAGTTCATCAACAAAGGATTCATCATCTGTCACATCCCTTCAATTAAGGAGAAAAGCAAAAATTCAGAAGTTCTGAGAAATACAGTTTCATCTTGTTGAAACCAAGAAAATAATTTTCCTTTTAAAAAAATTATTTATGCTATTTTCTCTTTTCAGTTACAAACAATATATTTTGTTGAAGAACAGAGAAAATAGATAAAAAAAAGAAAACAAATCACTCATGATTTTAGCTCAAAATTCTAATCACTATTAACTGTTTCCTTGTATATAAGCACACACAGGCCTTTTTCAAAGACTAAGACCATTTTCTAAGCATCACCAAATAAACTTCAAAGAAAACAAAACTATCAATGATGGAGAAATAATAAGATACAAATTTTAAGTTAGTTTAAAATATTTATAAAGTAGTATAATTCTCAAAAAGGGGGGGTGCTCAAAGAAAGTTAAACTGAAAATTCATTTTTAGGCAAAGACTCAACCATTGAGCTACATCCCCACCCTGCAAACATTCTTAAACTGAAATCCTTACAAATTTCACAGGAAGAGGTACTTTTCATTGTCCTGAAATCTTGTTTTGTTTGTTTTGTTTTGTTTTGTTTTGTTTTGTTTTGTTTTGTTTTGTTTTGTTTTCTGAGACAAGATTTCTCTACATAGCCCCGGCTGTCCTGGAACTCACTATATACACCAGGCTGGCCTTGAACTCTGAGATCTACCTTTGCCTTCCAAGTGCTGAGATTGAAGGCATGCACCACTACACCCGGCTAATTTTCCTAAAATTTGAACGTCCTTACAGGAAGTACAGCATTTTTTTTTTTTAAATAAGAACAAGAAAGACTGATGTGAATAATGGCCAGATCCTGAACTTGGGGATGGAGCTGTGACATCTCTAAGTAGAATATGAAAGACAAATGTGTCAACCATGCCTCCCACTGCCAACTCAGAGGAGCTATTTTAGCATTACTACATGCGCTTTAGAAATACAACCAGATTTTATGTCGGAAAAGTCTCAATTTGGTAATGAAAGAAAGGAAATTTAGAAAGTCTTTAGAAAAAGATTCAGTTTACAAAATGTTTCATCAGTACTGCTGCTGTTTAAATTACAAATACTCCACATTTAAAACATAATCAAATGCAAAAAAAAATTATAGAGCTGGTGAGGCCACTCAGTAGGTGAGGGTACAAGCCACAGGAGGCCACATGGTGGGTAGGAAGAGAGAAGCAACCCAGGCAGGTTGTCCTCGGACCTCTACACTGTATGTGTAGCACACACATGAATAAGCAAGTGTGAAAAAAATTGCATACATTTTCAGAAAAAAATATAGCATATAAACTGTTGTATTAAATTAGTCTTAACATACTGTGGACGAACTCAAATAGTAGGATGTTTTTAATTAGAAAATACAGAAAAACTGAATCAATGCAAAAGTGAGGTATATCATTAGACTGTCAGATTTATATGTTCAAATACAATAAACACACAATGATTAAAGAAACATGCATCAATCAAATGACATTAAATTGGATGCCTGACTCTAAATTAAAATCTCATTTTTCTTTTTATAGCATTAGAATGTTTTCTATGTCCTGCAAGAAACAGCATTCATGTACCTTGTATGCACTAAAAACAAAGTTTCTTGGGGGGGGGGGGGGACATGATTTTTTTCAGAGAATCTATTAAAATGATCTTTCAATTTGTGTGTGTGTATGTGTGTGTATATATATATGTATGTATGTATGTATGTATTTATGTATGTATATACGTACCTGTCTGTTTATGTATGCAACTGTTTGTGCATGCATGTGTGCACACATGTACATAGAGACCAGAGGTCAACCCTGGCAGTTCCTCAGGCATCATCCCCCTTACTAGGACCTAGTACTCACCAAGCCTAAGCTAGGCTGTCTGACAACCAAGTCCCCGTGATCCCCAGTGAACCTCTGGTCTCTGCATGCTCAGTACTGGAATTACAAGCATTCATGAACCACACCCAGCTTTTTAACTGTGTACTGGGGATAAAACTCAGGGTCCCATACTTGCACGGCAAGCACTTTACCAACTAAGTTATCTCCCCAGCCCCTGTAAAAATTGTATAAGAAAATTTTGTTGTTGTTTGTTGCAGAAGAATTTCCTTATATAGGCCAAGTGGGCCTCAAATTTGTAATTCTCCTGCCTCCCAAGTTCTATGATTAAAGGCTTGCTTCACCATGCCCAGCTCATCAATGATTCTTAATTGGAGCCAATTAAATCTTCCAGGTATTACTGGGTCATTTCTGCAGATCCTTATGGTAGTCAGATTGAAAGAGAGTGTATTACCAGCATTTAATGGGAAATAGGTCAGGAATAGATCAGAGACACAGCTAAATATCCAACAACACACAATGTAGCTCTCCACAATAAAGATTTGGCCTTAACTGTCACTGACATATCCTGGCTTACATGGAAAATACTTCATTAACATGCTTAGTTTAATGCTATTGGCCATATTAGGGGCAGGGGAGGGGGAGAAAGGGATGAAGCTCTTATGAAAAAAAAAAACATACCTGTACCAAGGATAAACAAAGTTTTCCAACACTAATTCAAGAACCTGCACAAGAAAATTTTAAAGAAAAATAATTAACTATAGGGAAATAAACCATACTACTAAATGATATATATTAGCAACAACCAATTTTATTATACCAAATACCTCCCCTTTTTCAGGAGGGGAGGGGTTCAAGACAGGGTTTCTTTGTATAGCCTTGGCTGTCCTAGATTTAGCTCTGTATACTAAGCTGGCCTTGAATGCAGATACCCATCTACCTCTGCCTCCCCAGTGCTGGGAGTAAAGGCTTGTGCCACTGCCCAGCTGACAAAACTTCTTCACAATATATTTATGTCAACTTTACATGGCTATGAGGCTCACTAAGAATTGAAGGGGGAAAAAAACCTTGAAATTATATAATCCAGAAAAGAAGTTTCTATTAGAATGGCACACATATCTTAAATATCTCCATAATCAAAAGTGTTTCAACAAGGGCCATCAAGATGGCTCAGCAGGTAGAAGTACTTACTTGGGTAAGTATGGTGACATGAGTTTGATTCCTAGAATCCATGAAAAGGTGGAAGGAGGGAACTGACTCCAGAAAGTTGTCCTGATATATATATACATACACCATGCATGCAAACCCCACACACACATCATGCACATAATACACCCAATCATACATTTTTAATCTTTTTCAATGAATTGTTCCTGACTGGTTTCACTAAACAAAAAACAAAACTGATCAACCAAAAAAACTAGTACATAAGATTTATACAGAGAATCAAAATCAGGTGTCCCTGATTTTCTCTGAAGGAACAATGGTGACTGAAGGGCATGAAGGGAAATTCTGGGACACTCCTAATGTTTCATTTCTTGCTCTGATGATACTTATGTGGATGCACTCATTTTCTGAAAACTTTAGCTGTATACTTAAAACCAGTAAATAAAATAACAGATCAAAAGACCCCTAGGTTCAGTTAAATATCCCATTTCTTGGGTCTGAGTGGAGCCGCATGTTGTGACTTTAACAAGGAGTCGCAGCGCTGTGCAGCAACTTACAAAAGCAAGAGAGAAGAGGAAGTGATGTGTGTTCGCTAGTTCTATGTCAGCTAGAGACACTATGATTGCGGGGGCGCACGCCTTTAATGTCAGCACTCGGGAGGCAGAGGCAGGCGGATCTCTGTGAGTTCAAGGCCAGCCTGGGCTACATAGTGAGTTCCAGGACAGCCAGG